CCACAACATTTAAGGTTCCTTGGGCAGCAGTGGATCTGAACACTAAACTGAGGGAAATCTTAAATGAGGACAATTTCACACTGAGATTATTGAGTTGAAATCAATTAAACTGAAGTTTACAAGAGCGAAAAACATAACTTGAGGAACATTAACTGTGGGTTCTAACGTATACAATATATTTTTAAAAATACTATCATAGTATAATGCCAAAATACAGACCCTTACAATAGAATTTTAAGATGATCTGGATTCCAACCTTCATTATCAGAGTCAGAAGAGAAATTATAACAATGGTCTGGGAACGTAAACACAAGGAGACTAAAAAGGACCCTATAATTGAAATGCAAAGGAAAGAGGACACAGAACAAGAAGGTTCAGCCAGATACTGTAAGACATCATGAAGATGGGGAAGAGGTGGCAAGAACTGGGAAGGGTATGGAGACTTTTGGTCCATTCATCAACGTAACAGTAACGACGTTACTCAGTTCTTGTTGCATTCTAAGGAAGAAGCCAGGCACAAATGGGATAAGCATCTTCAGTTTCTGCAAACACTTCCATCTTGATTTAAGCCATGCTCAATCTCCATTGCTCTCACCACTTGCATCGCAGCATTCCGACTGTGCAAACACACTCATTATGAATTCTGAGTGCCGTCCATCATGCCCCGATACTTCGAGCAGTGTATGCAAGATTCACTCTCCTCATTAACATTTTAAAAAGTACAAGGAATTTTTACACTGCCTCCACTGGACTTAAGAGGGCAGCTTATCTAGGTATTGGTACTGTGATCTGTAAACCCACTGCTATGAAACGAGTAAGCAAACATGTTTCTATGGAAATGGATTCTTGGAAACCAACCTGTTACAGTGCAACATGTCCATGCATACAGGGTATGAATGATCAACAGTCATTTCCATGGATACAGATATGCTATATAGCAGAAAATCCAGATCCAAATGGGATCAGTCAGAGATCAGAGCAGAACAGAAACAGATCAGAACGGAGCCAGACGCAGTCCAGCCAGAATAAAGCGAGTCCTAGACAGTCATTTATTGTGTGTTATTGTAATTTATTGAGATTACGAGTAATTGTAAAGGACTGATCAATAAATCCAACTGTCCAATCAAAATCCTGTTACTATTAGTCATGACCATAAATCGTGACAATACAATAAAGTCTAGCAGGAGGTTGCCAAAATTAGGGAGGGAATCCGCTGCCCCTATCTTGAGGGTACAAACATTAATAACCACGTAATCATTTGGTATACTTAACAACTGCATCAGTAACTCAAGCTCTTAGTATCAAATGGTAGGACAGTGAATAAGAAATTGGAAAGGATTTGGAAGAAACAGTAGTGACATAATCTGAAGTACTACCCTGCCATCTCCTTTGGTGGGGGGCTGAGGAAAACCATGAACACATGAGTGAGGAGAGCTGTGTCTTGGCGAAGATTCAAATCAGGCACCCCATAAATACAAGTCATGAGCATTACCGCTTAGACCAACCCGCTAGGTTACACTGTTTAATCAAGTATGTGGTTACTAATGTTCTGAGAAAAATCTGCTGCCTCCTTCCTCAGGGTAGAGAGTTTGGAAAGCCACCTATGTGACTATATGATGTCATACAGGACTATAATCTAAATTTTTACCATCATGAAAACCTCAAATCTCACATCATAAATGCAGTTTCCTGGGAACTTACCTTTCCAATGCATAAGCTATATCACAGTATCCTTGAAGTGTGATGTTGTTACGGTCGTATATAATGCTCTTAAGCCTGGAATTGATCTGTAATGCCTTTGCGAGCAGCCTTGCCCCTGCATCACCCATCAGATTACCGCTGTAAGAGATATGAATGTGATCATGCCACTGCTGGGTAAATCTTAATCTTAGTAATTACCAGAGCCCAGATTTTGATGACATGTCATCTTTTTTTCCTTGTATCCTATGCAATGCTCTTAAATATATAAATCTCGGATATGAGCTGCTGGTTACACAAATGTAAATTTTATAGGTAATTTTTTGTCATTTTTTCATTTCTGGGGTAATTCTTTGGTAAATTTTTGGACTTTTAAGGGTATTCTTGTAATTTTTGGCCATTTTAGGGAATTTTTCTTCATGTTTTCTGAAATGTGAATAACATGGAAGTGAAGTGTTCTTTCTTTTCTCCTTTAGGTCATTTTTCTGGATTTTTCTGTCATTTTATAGGTCATTTTTTTAATATTTTCAGGTCATCAAAATCCGGGCCCTGCATATTACATTTTTGGGTCATATTTTAGGTCATTTTTCTGGAGTCTTTCGGTCATTTTATAGGTCATTTTTTTAATATTTTCAGGTCATCAAAATCCGAACTGAAATATTCATTCTTCAATGGGATGTGGGTCATTTCTATGCAGTATCACAACATAGGCCTACAGCAGCTAAAACTTGAACAGAGGAGGAACACTCAAATAAAGAAAATGGGTTTACTGTCATAATTACAAAAGATCAGCAATGAAGTTCCAAAATCACATGCAACAACTCTACTGCATTGTTTCCACATCTTAACAGATGTTCCTGCTACATATATTGACAAGCATACACAGTACATTTCATAATATGGTTGGATGTTTACCATTACGTCCATAGCACAGAACTCTTCGTACAAATATAGTTGGTCATCCAAAACATCTCTGAGGGTACATCATACCTTGAGTAGGCAACCTTACATAAGAAAACTGCTCTGTGCATTAAATGAGATCTCTGGTAAGACCATGGAAGAATGGAAACCAGTAACTTCTTTAATGAGGATGTAATGATCCACATCAATATCAAATAATGACACACCTTCAAAGATGTTGCTAATGGACATCTGACATGTTCTGGCTGCCATATTTATCATAAGAATTGGAAATATTAGCATAAGAACATTATTACCTTATGTCAACACTCTGCAAACACTGGTTACCACCGAGGGCATTGATCAGGTTGTACAGGTCCGCTTTCAGCTTTGAGTCAGGTATTGACAACGACTGAAGCACACAATCTTCCTCCTGCAGGCCAAAAATATCCGCATCATTTCATCTGTTCAGCTCGGTAACACAGGTCTCTAACTGTGCATTAATATTATAGAATGTATGTGTGTAACACTTGGAATTACTGGTTTTTTGGACTTTCTCCACAGTCCAGTATTCTACTAAACACTGGAGAATGCAATGTTTCAGAAAATAGATATGTTCGGTCTGTTACCTCAGTCACTGGGCAACATTATATCAGGATAACAACAGCTGTACAAACACCTCAGACAAGGCTTCGTTAATGGGAGGTAACAGGAATAAAGTATGAATCTGTTTCGAATCTCTGACAAATCCATCATTTAGTAACAAGGAACCTAGGAAATGCAACATAAAAAGTAATGAAACTCACATTTCAATTGGAAGACAAAGGGAGTCTCACATTATTAGAGAATTTAACAGACTAGTATTGGTTTTCTGAAGTGCAACAAACACAATTTGTTGCCATTTTAATTTTAAGAAATACTCTTATGAACAAATTCATTTATAGAGGATTAACTGGAATGTGATGCTGTAGTCTGGCCAGATTGTTATTGACATTTGGAGGAAACCACTGCTTCGCTCTCCGTTCATATGCCACATTACATGGTAGCACATCCATGAGAACCTCAAATCACAAAAACGTCCTTTTGTTTTTTCATATTTACTTACTTTATTCACATATCCAGGTTCAAGTAACAGCACTTTCAACAGTTTGGATTATACAACATCNGTTAACACCACATATACACAGTGCCAAATCCCAGAAGACTGCTTTCTTCATCAAATATTATGATGACAAGCAAGGAACAAAGCTTGAGCTGTAGCATCTTAACATATCTGGCACACAATGCACTGCATAATTTATTTATAAAAACCATCTATACCAAAATATTTCTCCTTCTGATGTCAACTTGAGAGACAAGGAGTATGCAACAAAAGGACAACATTTGTTGGATATGAGGCTCTTCTAAATAAATTTTACATTGAGCTAATAAATTGGGAAGGACACAGAAGCAAGCAGTTGCGAATACTCAAAAGCACCAACAAAACACCTGCCTGGAATGACTGAGAAAATCACAATAAAACTCATCACTATACCAGGTTTCTGGATTGGAGTCTGAACCTAGGATCTCTCCCATATGAAGCAGAAATGCCACCAACTGGAACGTGATGTTTGGTGGCATTTACTTACTATGACACACTTTCATATTGTGTGATGAACTGTTCCACATCACAGGTACAACTTGCACCAACAGCAGTTAGCATTTAAACAAATAGACTTAACATTACTCACCTGAATCATCTGTACAACAGCGTCCATGACCGACGCAATGTGCTTTGCCTTCATATTGTTGAGGTTGCGGCCCATGTTCAGATGCTTGATGGACTTATTTTTGCTAACCGCAGTTACTACAGCTGCCAGATCAACATCCATATCTATAATAAGGAAAATATAACCCTTAATGTATGGGAACAGGGGATTTAACCTGATCTGCTCAATGTTACATTAATTCACTGATGAAAATATTGTCACCAGTTCTGGAGAACAGACATAAAAGCCTGTTCTAAGATGATAAAGGTTAGATTCTCTCTGTTACGAGAACTGTCACAAGATTGTGACAAGTCGCTGACAGAGCTTAACCTGTCACTGAATTCAAGACAATATTGTGACATACAGCTGACCCTTATGACAAGCGGAAGTTGCATTCCTGAAAATCGACATCCACATCAAAAAAGTGTGAAATGAAAAATGTGCTGAACAAGCAAGCATAACGGGGAAGGGGTAAGAAATGACATGACTGGGTCAAAATGGTGGGGTGGATGGGGGGAACTGCTCCCAACTCAGTTGGCATGCTTGGCAGGTTATACCATGGCCACAGATATGACACTGATCCTTCTCATAGCACCTACATGCCAAAGGGCACAATGCAGAGGCAGACAGATGCTCTAGGTTCTGAAATAACAATGAGAATGAGAAAGTATCAACAGAGAAAACAAACTTACTGTTCTCACTGATGTCTAGGCTGCCAATACACCGAATGCCATGGATGCATGATTCAAGCACGTGGGCCCCTTGGGCTCCGAGGTTGTTACAGCTCATGTCTAGCTCAATCTCGATGGTGGACTCGTTGCATGCCAGCCCGAGTAACAAGTTCCTGCACATGAAATATACATCCCACATTAGGCATACGTTGCAAACAACGTGACTTCTGAAATATTGTTATTGTTTTCGTTCTTGTTGCTGCGGTTGTTGTCAATGTCAGTTACTTTATGACTCTATCAATATCTAGGCTATGAGGGAGTCAGTAAATATGTCATGGAAGTAAAACAGCTGCAATGGATGCAACAGGTTTTCTATGTGCATCACTAGGTAGTAGCACAGTCCAGCAGTCTAGGTAGCAAAGGTGCATGCGCACGTTCAGAGGCTGGTTTTGGCAGTCAAAATGGTGATCATGCTAGAGGATTGTACTACTGAAGAGCAGCATTCTACTGTACACTTCTTTCACAGGCAAAAGGACTTGATGCAAAGGATATTCATAAAGAAATGTGCCATGCATACGGTGAGAAGTGTATATCACATAAAGTGGTTCACAACTGGGTCAAGAAACTTGGCAAACGTTTTGCTGGTGACGAGGAGGTTAAAACGGAGGTGCAGCGGCGGCTGAGACAACAATCAAAAGATTTCCATGCTGCAGATTTTGACGCACTGGTAAAGCAATGGGACAAGTGTATCAGCGTTGGTGGAGGTTAGGTCAAAAAATAAATGCCTTTTCCAGGTTCGAATCTTATATATTTTATATTCATTTGTGACCCATTTGCTGACTCTCCCTTGTATGGTAGGATGACCGATGGATTGGAAAGGATTTGGAAGGAAGGAGTCCTGGCTTAATTCAGGTATTATCGCAGCACTTGCCCAGAGAGACTAAGGAAAACCAAGCAAAACTTCAGTCATGACAGCCAAACCATTTTTGATGGGGTAGAAAAATACATTAGTATTTACATTAATATGTTTCAATAATTTAATAAAAATAAGAAAAAAAAGCCTTTAAAATTTCAGATAAATGTTGTATATGGAGATGTCACATATGAAAACCTTAATAATAGAGTAATTACCATATGAAATAATTAGTAATAAGAAAGAACCTGTAAGAATGTACTAGAAATAATTGGATGAAACTGTACAAACGGGATGCTGTAGCTCGGACTTTCACCAATGTTATTTGTAGAAGCTTCCAGATTTATCTTGTTTTGGATTAAGAAATTGAGAGAAACAATTGACGTATAAACCCTCAAAACTTTCCATCCTCAACCATGAACAGGATGCATTGGTGGCCCGAGACGAGTGAGGGAAATACCCAAACAGATAACGTGTACCAAACAAGCAGAGCAGCATTGGAATCTTCCTTCATACAAAGTCCTCCTAATCAGACTGTATAAATATTGTAGTTCAAAACAACAGAAATTCCTCTTCATACTGAACTGATACGACGTGGAATCTGTGTTGGACAAAACTCTATCATTCAGTAGAAAGTCGGCCTTGTGTGGCCTTATGCACTACCTGCTGTACCAATTGATTTAATCTATTAAACTACCTTGTATTAAGTTTTCATTGCAGCAGTTCTCGTCTCACCAGAAACGGATTTCCCATTATCCGCTCGACCAAATCTGTCCAAATCTGTTCACTTATTCCCTTAGTCTACAGATACAACAAAAATATCAAGGAAGAAAAAGGAAAATAAAGTCATGATTAAGACATAAACATACTGTGAACTCACTTGAGGGCCTCCAATGGCAGTTTGCAGAAAGACATGTTGAGATGTTTGAGGCTGAGTGTGCTTGTGAAGAACTGTTTGAATGATGGGGGAACTTCTTTGGTTTTCTTGAAACTGAACACATTACGAGCGACGTTGAGATGCACAAGGTTCGTAGCACATCCCCGCAGTAGAGCACCAAATATCTGACAAACAGTATCAACTTATAAACAACATAAATGTTTGCATTTTCGTGGTAATGAGCATTCAGAATGTGATCTCTTGCGTTGTGACCCCATGCAATGTGATATGTGGATACCAACGTTTCAGGGGATCATGATGCCTCTATCTTCATGGTTGAAAAGACTGTGGTGGTGTAGTCAGGTAGTGTCTGTACAAAACTTCTTTGAGCATATGTCACACTTTGCACAGGAAACCTTATGGAACAACAGCCTTCTGGTATGCTGATTCTGGTTCCCAATGTATGTTGAAAGAAGCATGTAGTAATTTGATTTGTTTCATTCTGGTCCGTCACACTAATATAATGAAAAAGCTAAAGAGTTCCGTTCAGTGTGACTCGTTAAGATTTTCTTGTTTCAAATATTCATGGCCTTACATGTTTCGGTCTTCGGAGACCATCTTCAGAGGGACATGTACTATAATAGTGGCTTCTAACTGTATTGATGTAAAGGTGTCCCTCTGAAGATGGTCTCTGAAGACCAAAACATGTAAGGGCATGAATAATTGAAATAAGAAAATCTTAACCAGTCACACTGAACGGAAGTATTTAACTTTTTCATAGCATGTAGTAACTTCCAATAACGACATAACAAGATACATTAATATACGTGTCTTTGAAGCAGTTTGTTTTGGCTCGTTACACTGAAGGCGGTCACTGAGAATTGTGGGGGAGGGAGAGGAAGGGTGCTTTAGAATTTCCTGTTCACTATACCTACTGGCCACCTCCTGAAACACTGGCGGCATCCACCTACATGACTGCAGGGTGCCACAACCCTGACGACCACAATCTTACAACTGCTGCAGAACTCCCACTTAAGGTTTCCTTCGGGAGCAGTGGACTTAAACACGAAACTGAGGAGAATCTTAAATGGAGGGCAATTTAACACAAAAATTAACTTGGGATCACCTAAAACGAACATAAACAAAGTTCCGCCAAAACATGTAATGATGAGTGATCCAACGCTTGATGAGGACCACATTACAACGTGAATCAAAGATATTTCAGTGTATCTCCAGTTCTAACAATGGTAATCAGAATTACCGAATAAAAAATAAGTTCTGAAATGAAGCTGTGAGGCTCACCTTCTTACTGGATAGATTTTTAGCCATACAGACTCTACTTTTATTATTATTTTCTTCTGAAATTAAAAATAGATTCTATGTTAAACGTTTCAGATATAACCTCAAAAGTTTCTCACTGTCACCATGTACATAACTATTGACTTATAAGCAACATTTCATACTTGTCAACATAAGATCCCAGCTTCATCGGCCATGTTATTTGACGCCATAAAAGTTTGACTGCCTAATTGGCTGACATGTGCGTATATTCTTGCCGTGCAGAGTTCATATTAGTTCGCTGCTTGAAACTCAAGTATCTCCCTTTATGCTGTATTGACCTTAACACCCGTTAATTAATTCGAAGGATTGCTGAGGGGATAATCAAAAGGGGAAGCACAATAGATCACTGTAGGTTGCGGTACAAGGGCCGAGAAGGCCCACCCCTTATATATTCATACATTCATTCATTCATTCAACATTTCATGCACAATGTGTACATATGTTTATGATATATCTCCATACCAAATTCCACAGTTTTACCTGTAATGGTTTATTAGTTACAAGAATCAATCCAAGTGCTAAAGAAAACGTTTATATATTGCTTCCATGTTGTTATATCACACTTCACAAAGTATAAGCTTAACAAGAAGTAGTGTATGTTTCAGAGATGTATCATTACAGCTTGTAGCCCAGAAACTTCATAAACTAAGTACACTTATCAAACATTTCTTTTATTCATTCTGATTGGTGAAATCATGCTGCATCCAAAAATGAACAATCAAACACTCTGTTAACTCACTGTTTCCAATGCAGTGTCGGTCCCTGAGATATCTAGATGAGTTAACGAGTTAGGCTGAGCAAGGAAGTTGCATAGATTCTGGAAAAAAAAAAACAACAATAAAAATACTCAGAACTAAGTTGAAGACAATAGAATTGATATGGCATACCTTGAAACTTGTAGAAAGTAGGGACTAGATTTGTTCATAGTGTAGATCAGAAGTCAAAGTGTGGGAAACAAAACCAATGAATCCATATACCGCTCGTATAACTTTCGCTGCTCTTCATTCAGAAAAGAAAACTGGCTTGAACAGTAAGAGTTCTGACTTATAATCAGAAGGTCCCCGGTTTAAATCTCAGCCAGTAAACCACGTATGTTGACTAAAGTCAGCTTTTCTCAGTCCCTCGCCTCAAACTAGGGTATGACACTTCTTTCCACACACTTTCCAATTCATTCACTCTCATGCCATAATTCAATGCTATACAGAGTTTCTGAGCGTGCCAACTGCAAATCAATAAACAGAATTCACCACTCCTTGATGACGAAGCCTGCAAAATGGACTATTGTTCTGATTTACCACAGATGGTCGCCCTAGAGGACTTATGGCTTTAATCCCTGTTTTCTTTGGAGAGCAGTGGCTTTGAACACCAACTGAGGAAAATCTTAAATGGAGGAAATTTAACACGTTGGGATCACTGATTTGGGGTCACTAAAATTTAATCCTGTAAGAAATATAACACTAATGTTCAAAACAGAACTTACATTGATCTCCTCCTTGAGGTTGTTACCGCTGAGGTTGAGGTACGTAAGCGTGCTAGGCATGATCTTGTTGAGAGACAGTGCATGAGCAAGCTGGTTCACCCCCTTGGAAGACAGGCCACAGTGAGACAGGTTTAGGTGAATCAACCCCTTTGGCACCTTTGCTAATGGACTGCTTAGGTGATTTGCACCTACAAAGTAGTGACACGTCGGTATGCCAATATGTCATTCAGTACACAAATGAACATAGCATTAATACACTACTTACAGCTGTTAAGGTCCAGACTTTTCCTGCACAAAGAGGTAAATTTCCTTGTAACTAAGCACCACACACAAGAGGGATGTGGGGGATACTGAGGTAAACTTCAACACTAGATGGAGGTGTCAGCTTTACCCTTCAGCGGTTTCAGCACCCATTAAAACCATTTCACAACTCCCCCCTGCCAAAAGTAACGGAACAGTCATCCCTGTGCTTATTCAAGCACGATACAAGACCCATGGGAGAGTGGAGGCACAACTCCATTCAATATTAACTTTGGCAGCAGATGGAGGTGAGTGGCCAGCTTTATGTCCTGGCTCTACTATTCAAGGGATACAGCCCCCAGTTTCCTATGGACAGGAGGCTGGATGGACCCCAGAGGTTGTCTTGCTGCTATGGAGAGATCTCTAGGCCATCCTGGGAATCAACCCTGATACCTCCATCATCCAGCCCATAGTCTAATCACTATACTGGCTCAGCTATTGATTAAGAACAGTCCATAAATTTCAAACGAAAGTATGACAAAATTTGTCTGCTACAATTTATGGCACAATTCATTACAGATATTTTCCTCTTAATGAAGAAGATAAAACCATAATAATTCTTATTATTAACTGTGTTCGGTTATAGTGAAATAATGACAAGATTATATGAAAATAATGACCATTCTTTGAAAGTTAATAAGTAATAATGAAAACATATTTAATAACAGGTTAAAATAAACTAAATAAGGTGTCAGATGCAAGCAATTACATCCATACAGATCCTAGAGTTTTCACAGCAGTAGCTGTTCAGACTATGGTTTTCTGGTCTGTGTCTTGTAGCTGGATACTGACATTTTAGATGAACATGCTACCTCCATCTTCAGGGTTGAAGTGTGCAGGGTGAGAAAAAGCCTTGGTTACACAGGCTGGTTACAAAGAAGATGGTCCTGAGCCCAATCAAGGCCAATGAGACAAGACAGGTAGGAAAATGGACCTTTTAAGGGGTGCACTAATTGTTTGCCACTAGTGAGAAATGAGCATGGTTTATTCTGTTTGCTGCTTGCTTCCTGTTGGCAACTTGTTTGCTTACTCTTTGAGCCTGAAGATTTTTTTATTGCTAGTGGGGTGGGACTAAGTCCCTTGTACTGCGGCCACTTCAGGCCTACTGTACCAGCCCCAGATGACAGGTGAGGGTGACTGTGGAGCAATTGGTAGAAAGAAGATTGGCAAGGGAAACTGAAGTACTCGGAGAAAACCTGCCCTGTGCCACCTTTTCCACCACAAATCCCACTGGACCAGATGCGGGAGCAAACCCGGGCTGCTGTGGCAGGAAGCCAGCGACTAACCGCTTGAGCTATGGCGCGGTGAGCCTGAAGATGGAGGGAGGTTCCTCTCAGACAACAGTGGACGCATACTGACCCTCACAGTGTACAGTATTCATAGTGACCACTGAGAAAACCTTAAATCTACTGTATTGTGTTTGTAATTTCTATTACAGCTCCTCTTCTATTCATTCTTTTTTTATTGTCATACATGCATATGCAAATGAAGAGGTATGCATGCAAACCATTACCATATACATTCCCACGGGCACCGTACATTCAGTCATACGGGATAATACATCCAAAGATTAAAACTACTGTGTTTATTTAAATGTAATATCATCAATATTTTTACTTAAACACAACATGACCTATTTTACTGGACCTGCCAGTGTCTGGCAGTAAAAACTGCCATTACTTTCATGCACTCAGTGAAACCAATACAAGCTAAATACCTATGTAGGGTTGTCCAGAAATGTAATATAACACAATGGTCACTATATGTACCACCTGCTTTTACATTCAAAACTCTGCATTTTGCCTCACACAGTGTGTTGGTGTGTTCTGTATGGTTGTCACAATAAACAGTGACTATTTCCCTAAACAGCATTAACCGGTTGGGCTTTCTAGCAGAGATGTAATGTGTTTCCTGTGAGGTATGGACTGAACTGCTATATATATATATATTCTGCCCACACAGTGTATCTGTGTGTTCCATATGGTTCTCTCAGTAAACAGTGACTGTTTCCCTAAACAGCATTAACCTGTTGGACTTTGTAGCAGAGACATAGTGTTTCCTGTGAGGTACAAACTGAATATTTATATATTATTTTGATGAATGTGAGGCTTTCGAGGGCTACAAACCGTGAAAATACAAGTATATTCAATAAAATTTTGTAGAATTTGGACCTGAGACCTTCAAAATATAAAGCAGGTGAGGTATCCGCTCAACTGCCACGTTAGGCCCACTGCCTTAAAAACCCCGTAGAACCTGATCATGCCAGAAATGAATTACCAAAGAGAGACCCCCCTCCCCCCACATACACAGTTAGTGGATAACCCGATGCACATGCAGTAGGCAGGACAAACACAAATGTTAGCAACTACACTACAGTCCACAACTAAAACAAAACAGAGCATACAGTCATAAAACTTAAAAAAAAAATCACACCTTGGATAATTTTGGCAACAATTCCACACAGACTAGTGGCACCTATGAGAGAGAGAATTCACATGTGAAACAACAGCAAAACTCAAATATTTCCATTACATACAACAGATTTGATCTTTACATGGCAATGAAGTTTTAGGCTGTGGTCTTCTGAAGGATGTCATTTTAGATGAACCTGCTGTCTTAATCTCCTACCATGGAAAGAAGGTTCCTCCACGATGAAGGTAATCAACTATTACATTATATACAGTAAATCCTTATTAATCCGGATTAATGACACAAAAGATAGCCCTAAAAGGTGGGGGGACTTAGAAACAAATAACTGGTAAATTTAGTAATATAGGTAGTGCTGATGAAAATAAATACAAAAATATCACTGCACAGGCTTTATTTAAAACTATAAAAAGACAAGAAGCTGAAATCTAGGGTCTCCTTCACCCAGCTGAAGCCAATCTTGGGTATTTTCTTGCGTGGTTTCAGTCTCTCCAGCTGCACTCAACACAGTCTGAAAGTCCCCTTGCTCCTAAATCCTGTGTTTTTAAAAGCATGTACTCAATTGCGAATAAGGGACACATGATAGTGCAGTTGGTTGAGGCACTATACTACAAGTCAGAAGGTTGCGGGTTCGATTGTCGATGAGGTCACTGAATTTTTCAATTGATCTAATCCTCCCAGCTGCACTATGGCCTTGGGGTCAACTCAGCCTCAAACAGAAATGAGCACCAGGAATCTTCCTGGGGGGTAAAGGACGGCATAAGGCTGACAACCTCACCGCTGTGAGCTGACTATCTAGAGAAAATGTGGGAGCCTCAATGTCTCACAACCCTGTGGGCCTTCAAAGCCTGTTACAGGGACAGCTTTACCTTTTACCTTTACTCAACTGTGAACAAAATTTTTAATTTTTCATATTTTGATCTGGATTATCCAACATCCAGATTAACTTCAACTAGATTAAAGGGGGTTTACTGTAATGTCATAATAAGGGGTGCGGTCCTACAAATAAAATCACTGGGGTTACCTGCCAAAGAGTTCCAGGATGACTGAAATGTAACAAAAAGCCATTCTTGTTAACTAACGATAGCTTTACAATTTTAGATGCAAAACTGAGTGACAAACAGCTCATGAAATGCATGTATTTACTTCAGTTGATGTTTCTGCCACAGTCTGAGATCCAGGAAATTATGTGAGCTATTGTTCATTTGCTTGATATCACTGTTATGTCAGATGCCCTGGGACTCAAAAAACCATCACAGTGGCAGCGCCTGGGACTGCCCTCGTTAAACTACAGATGTGCTCATAACCCGGAAGACCACATTATAACTTTTCATTACCATATGCACCTCAAATCTCATACAAAATAAATTATATCAAAACACAACCTGTCCTCTATGGGCACATGATAGCAACACTGGATACAGCACAACGCAGGTCCTCAAACTGTTACAGCAGTTCTCATCCACAGTGGAAATTCTTTAAGTGGTAATTATAAACTGGTGCAACAAAAGCACACATCATTACGGCAATACTCCACTTTCATATGTCTTCATATTTTTAGGTTATTTTATGATGCTATCAGTAGCTAGACTATATAGTGTAGAGTTGCGTGACAGTGGAAAAGATTCTGAAGGAAGAAGTCATGGCTTAATCGAGGTACTGTTCCGGCTTTTGCCTGTAGAAAATGAGGAACACGTCAGGAAGTATGTAGTGCAGAAGGAAGGACATGGGAAGAAACTTGGAATGTGGAGCTTCGGGAAAATAGAGACAGAAATGCCAGAGGAAGATGGAAGAGATGACATGAAAGAACAGTTTGATAGCCCTTGCATTCTCTGATATTCAGCATTAAAAATATCACTGCAGTCCGCGAACTTCGATTTCCAATATGCCAAAGTGGCAAATGCTAAAAACTTAAACTGATAAGCAAAACTTTCACAGAAACAATTCTGCCACCGGTAAGTTACAAAAAATATAATAAAATTAATAAGAATACCGAACAATTTATCACGACACTAAATCATCACTTCTGTGCTTATGCAAACAATGATCATGCCCATCTAAGTCACAAGTCACATGTGAGAAACAAATAAACATGATCTGTGTAACATCAGAGGCAAAAGGAAAACATTTTATAACTTACCTTTGTCTTCAATCATGTTATTCGATAAATCCAGACTGTGAAGAGGCGTGCTGTTGTTTGATATTAATGCCAGTGATAATTTGTGAGCAAAATCCCTGCAGAAGAAATTAATTTCAAAATTTAAAAAATAAAACGCTACAGGTATATCTTCTGTTGAATTTGTAATTCATTAGTGATCCTGTCGGTAACTCACTGTGGTCGTATTGTCACCAGATACTGACACCGTTAGAAAGTTACTATGTAAGATTTGAGGCTTTCACGGCAGTGATTATGAAGAAAGCAGTCTTCTGGGATTTGGCACTGTGTATATGTGGTGTTAACCGACATTTCGGAGGAACGTAAAACCGGTAAAANTAGACGATGAGTATGTAGCAACTGAATGATGATCAATAATGAATTGGAAAGACTGTAGACAGAGAAGGCACTGCTTAATTAAAGGTACTGTCCTGGAATTTGTCTCAAAGGTATTTTTAATGTTTGTATCCTGTTTCATGAGTATAAATAACCATACAAATTCCACTGTCAATGCAAGTATAATTTACTAACTGATGTTCCACTACATGTTTTGAGCCCTTACAGGGCCATCCTCAAGTGCTGTAATTTACACATTTTCATTATTGAATTGTAAAGTGTGTATACATATTTACACACACAGGCTTAAAATGACTATTTTCTATGTACATTTATATTCTAGCACCTAGATGTTGATTTAAATACAAGATATATATGAACTAAAAGTTAAACATTAATTTTTAAAATTAAAGCTGAATACAGTATACGAATACTTTTAAATTAATTTTAAAAATTAGTAAAATTAATGTTTAACTTTTAGTTCATATATATCTTGTATTTAAATCAACATCTAGGTGCTAGAATATAAATGTACATAGAAAGTAGTCATTTTAAGCGTATGCGTGTAAATATGAATAAATGTTTTATAATTCAATAAACATGTAATTCACAACACCCGAGTATGACCCTATAAGGGTTGAAACATAAGTTAATAAATTATGGTTGTGTAGATGGTGGAATCTGACATATCAGTTGTCTGGAAGAGCCAATGAAAATCTCAGTCATAACAGTCAGTATCCCAGTCAAGGTTTGAAATGGGCACCTATTAAACACAAACCAGGCCTTATTGCTTGAGCCAATTTGCTCAGTGGTATACCTTGAAGCTGGAGGTAATATGTCTCTCTGAAGCATCAGTATCCTAGATGACAACAATCTAAATTTTCACCACTGTGAAAACCTTAAATTTCATAACAGGATACACTGTTAAACAAGAATAGAGACAGTGCGCCTTCAGAGCACTGCATTAACTTACCATTTCACTCCGAGGTTGTCCAGGTAAAGTTCCTCTATGCTAAGTGACTTCTTCATCACATGGAGGATTCTGTCCAGTGCCTCGTGAGTCAGTTTGATGTTGCTGGCTCGTAGCTTTGTGAACCAAGTGTTGAACTCCAGGGCACTAATTATTGGCACAATATCCCTGCACATTCAGAGACAAGCATACAGGGCTGGCACAACAGTACAGTGACACTAAGTGGCCATCTGTGGCAGCACAACTTCAGGGGTGCCCATTTTACTGGCCTTTTATTTTTGTGCCAAATGAAAACTCATTTATGCTAACCTTCTTTTCATGTTGCGACCATTAACTGGCAGTAATCTACACATGTCATGTATCAATGTAAATAAAACTACATAAAGAATTATGACGGCAGTTATGCTTTTCATCATGGTGTCTGGAAATTCTGTGTTACTGAGATTCTATCTGCACCTATCTTTAATCCTGTTGCTCCCACTTGGAGCATAGGGCATCCACGAAACACTTCATTTCACTTCAGTTTCTTAATCTCAGACAGTCGATAGGATTCCATGAACAGGGGATCAGCCTGTCACAAGGCTGCTTACAGAGATTAATAAACATTTAAATTTAATAAAGAGAAACTGATTTATATGGTGATATTCTGGGTTATGCCAGTGAGCAATTTGGTAGGTGGCTACTAGCATCTGACAGCAACATTCTGATTTCAATTTCTACTGTTATCCTGAAGATGGAAACAGTGTGCACCCACCAAACTGCTGGTATCCACCCATCAGATTACATGATGTCATCACCCAGACAATCATAATCTCAAACTTTACTACTGTGACAATCTCATCTGTGACATATTTGCAACAGTTCAATGGAATCAGTTTCTCAGTTATGTCCAACAAAATAAAAATACTGAACATCACATCTTCAGATGTAACTAAGTCATAACATAACTACAATCATCTGACAGAACAGTTCCTCAGTGCTGTGTTGTAAAGACCGTGACATACTTTGGATCCAAGTGGTCGAAGTCTCGTAAGCACAACTCTCGTGTATCATGTGACAGATAAATGGTATCCACATCCTGCAACAAAAATCAAACGCAACTCCTGTACAGTCATCCAGGGACTCGCCTTTATTTATGTTTCACACATAACATCACAACCCAAGAGTCTCCTGAGATGCAACACCATGTAGTCTGGTAGATATTTAGGATTGGAGGTTTTCACGGCAGTGACTGTGAAGAATGCCGTCTTCTGGGATGTGGCACTGTGTATATCTTGTGTGAAAAGACGTTTCGGAGGAATGTATCGCCTCCATCTTCAGGGTAGAAAGAATCCATAAGTGAGGAATCAGCATGAGCAGGTCACTGCATCTTTTCAGAGGTACCTGTTGCTTTCATCTTCAGGCCAGAAACTTCAGCACATGCCACTGTTTCCTTAAGTTGTTTCTCCTAACTTTCCTCCACTTCCCACTGCACCACTCAGAGTCATTACTTCTCTTATTCACTCTGTCCTCTCTGCAAACAGCCCTTTTAAGGGCCAGTATCATTTACACTGCTCTACTTACTCCAGTTGGTTTTCTCAGGGCCATATCTGGTCCTCCGTCACCCTGTATTCATCTCTTATCTTCACATTTAACTCACATCTGCCATGAAAATGGAAGCAGCAGATTCCTGTGAAATGTTGGTAATGATCAATCACGCTACATGGTGCCATCCCAGAAGAGAGCAATCTGCATAGCCACTGCTACAATACCCTCATGGCTCAGCCTGGTTATTTAATTTTCAGCACTACTCACATGAAAAACTGTAATCACTGCCACAGACACCATGGAATGTGATCCAAATGTCAGGGTCTCCATATAAGCAGTCAAAGAAATCCTACAATTTAACCCAAATGTCACGGTGCCCACATTAGTAAGTGCAGAAATCCTACAATGTTATCCAAATATCAAGGTTCCCTGATTAGTAACCACAAGAGCCTTGGAATTTAATCCAAATGTCACAGTTCCTATGTCAGTAGTCACAGGAACCCTGGAGTTTGATCCAAATATCAGAGTTCCCACATAAGTAGTCGAGGAAGCATGGAATTTGATTCCAAATATCAGAGTTCCCACATAAGTAGCAAAGAAGCATGGAATTTTATTCAAACATCAGAGTTCCCACATAAGTAGACGCAGGAACCCTGGAGTTTGATCCAAATATCAGAGTTCCCACATAATTAGCCGAGGAAGCATGGAATTTGATCCAAATGCCAAGGTCCCCACGTTTGCAGAAGGCACTGAATAAAGGGAAATCTCTTCTAAGTCTCCTGACAGATATACAAGTAACTGACAGTGTTTATGTGCAGCTACAGGGTCTCCTTACCCAAGACACCTCCTCCCGGTACGGCATGCTGTGGTAGTCACACATACAAGCATACTGCGTGGAGAAGCCTCCACAGGGACCCAGGCCTCGACCATCGTGTCCACGACTCAGCTCCCCGTCAAGCAACTGCTGGATGCGTTTACTGGGAACCACCTCCACTTTGCGAATAATGTGTCTGAAATCACCAATATGATATTAACTCACCAACGCTTTTTCTTGATAAAGTGTGTGGGGCCCAACAACTACATTCAAGACAGCCATTATGATTCTCAGAGTTTGTATGCAGTCGGTACAGGAGGTACTAAAATTCTTACGTTTTTATGGTAAACATGCATTTTGCTCAGAGTAACTAAACACACCCAGGCTTTTATATGTGCTAGAAGGTATTACTGAACATATCACCAGTTCAATCTGAAATTCAGGATATTTCTGCCTTGATGCTGTGTACAATGACAATTTGCAACAACAACATTTGGATCCAAGGGATCAATGCTATGGGGGAACCAGCTGCTTCCATCTTCATGGTAAGATTGGAGCAGGGCTGGGACAGCTTGGTCAGTATAATGCACAGACTACAGGATACATGACTGAGGTTTCATTCTTGGTAGTGAGAAAGTGAATAATGCTAAGAATATTGTTAATGCATACATGAACTTACTGTAAAGGAACTGTTGGGAAAATATTTCTTATTGCAGTTGCCAGGGCGAGCACCATTGCATCTACTTCTTGACTGCCATTCTCATCTCCAGTTAAGAATGAGTATACTTTGTCACCTACTGTCAAAGTCAACTGTAAGAAAGGCCACATTCCAAACAGCATGTAGATAAGTCACATATACAACAGTAGAATAAACAAGCAATGCATTCAATCTGTAATTGTACACAATACCTCAGTTGGTATAGTGATGAGCTATGCACTGAACAACCGAGAAATTGGACTTTAATTTCCACCAGGACCAAGTGATCGTTTCTTCTACAGAGCATCCAAACCAGCTCTGGGACACACTCACCCTCCTATGTAACAAGGGCACCTTCCCAGGGAGTAAAGAGGCTGGGGTGAGAAGCTCTGGCCATGCTATCACATTTTGGTTGCATCAGAGTTGATACCCTAATTCGCCCCATGGGCTGCATTTCTTTGCTATTCTACCAGACTGTAATATTTTCTTGGTTGGTTGTAATATTGATTGGCAGTTCTGGATGGCCACCTTGTCCCTGGGGGGCATAAATACAGGGACATATTCTCAAGGTTGGGGGTTGGATGCAAGGCTCATGACCTTGCTCTGTAAAAAAAAATTATTGTTGCGAAACTCAAAAAGGTTGAAAAGTGGAACAAATTTGACAGGCTTTTCTAAGGAAGGCTATGGCACAAACTGTGGTGTTTTGCCAATGATGAATATGTTACTGAGATTACATTCAACAGTCCACCTTGTAAAGCATACAAAATAAAGAAAAACGTAAGTTATCCAAGTAAGCATCATACCATGAAGATGCATGGAGGAGCAGAGGTACTGAACCACATATTCTGAACCTTGGCATTAGATGGAGAGTGGCCAGGTTCACAACCTGGTCATTTTACCACCAGGGAGAGAGCCGCCTTTAGCCACGAGATAGGAAACAGGGCTGGCCATAGAGCCAGTCCGGACACTATGGAGAAGAGAAAAATTCTTTGGCCCAGTCAGGAATTCCCTGGCTGCCCAAAAGATGATCACAAGCAAAAAAACTCCTTCAACAAATTCCCATTTTCAGGTAGAACATTTTAACCTTCAAAAGTCTGTGTGAGATTATTCAAGAAAGATCATGTAGAATACACTTGGTGTATCTACATCCCATTTTACACTCACCTGATTTGGTTTCTTGCTTTCAATCGCCTGAATTTCCAGGTAATGGAAGTGGAAATCAATCTGGAACAAAGCAAATATGCTTTTAATACACTGCCAAGGCACTTCAGTTACTGTATATCAGTAACAACAATATTGCAGGCTGACCCTTTAAAACGCAGTGTAACTATATTTACCAGATACTCTAACATTAAGAACTCTATATGATGCCTCTATAGAGATTCTAATGAGCTCTCAAACAAATCAGGACAAAATAAAAACACCCCTTATGGCAGACTGGTAAGTACACATACCCTACACTTTAATACTAAAAGAACTCTGCATTCTGCCCACACAGTGTATCTGTGTGTTCCGTATGGTTCTCGCAGTAAACAGCGACTGTTTCCCTAAACAGCATTAACCGGTTGGGCTTTGTTATGGAGACGTAGTGTTTCCTGTGAGGTACGGACTGAATTGCTATATCGTATATTCTGCCCACACAGTGTATCTGTCTGTTCCATATGGTTCTCACAGTAAACAGCAACTGTTTCCCTAAACAGCATTAACTGGCTGGGCTTTGTTATGGAGACGTAGTGTGTTTCCTGTGAGGTACGGACTGAATTGCTATATATTCTGCCCACACAGTGTATCTGTGTGTTCCATATGGTTCTCACAATAAACAGCGACTGTTTCCCTAAACAGCATTAACTGGTTAGGCTTTGTAGCGGAGACATAATGTGTTTCGTGTGAGGTATGGAATGGGTATCTGGGCTGAGACTGAAACTTCAGACTTTACGAATCCGATGCAGGGTACTAGCCATTCAAATGTGACATTCGGTGACAAGGCATGAAGTTGAACTGGACTGTATGTCTATTTCCAAGAAATGAGTAGAACAGTGGTTGACAAATTGTGGTTCACAGGCTGCTCAGCAGTACATAAGAAAGTTTAGTGGGTACTACAGTCATTTTTATTATGGCACAAGGCATAACTCACCCTGGTTGGAACTTTCGCTGTGAGGAGAAACAATCGACAAGGTGAGAAGACCTGTAACACATACAAAAACCGATTTAGAACAGACCACAGACATCTGTGACAAAAGCAAAGCAATTATTTTGAAAATGACAGTTTTCTATGATCTGATGCATGTGCTCTGGTAGACAGTTACCAGTGTTTCAGAGGAACCTGGTGTCTCCATCTTAAGGGAAGACAAGTAATCTACAGCAGACGTAGGGACAGGGAGGACCAAGCTCAAGAAACTGTCTATCAGACTAGACGGCGTCAAATCCCAGAAGGCAGTAATCATTGCAGTAACTGCCACAAGAACATCAAATCTCACTTAGATGTCATTACATTTATAATCTGTCTTAAAATAGTAACTGCTAGTATGAAACGACAGAAACTAATAGTTTCTCAGCTATTCAAGAAATTCCCAACATTCTATGCAGCCCAAAGGTTCATTACGGTGTCCATAAAAGCTCATAAGTGTTCCCTATCCCCAGCAAAATGAATCCACTCCATAACCCTGATCCAGGTTTTTTAAGTTCTGCTTTAATATTATTCTCATATCTATGCCTAGTGGTATCCTTCCTTTAAATATTCCTATCAAAACTTCATAAGGACTTCTCTTCACCTCCATGCATGCTACATTCCCTACACATCTCATCCACCTGATTTGATAATTCCAATAACTTGTTCACAATGAGAGGCCTTTATATCAAACCACTTCTTCATTCTACCTCATTAACCTTGAAGATGGTGACTGTAATGAATGCTGAAACACTGGAACAACTTCAACAGATAACAGTGCTAAGCCCCAAAAGCAAAGAAGCTACACACTGGACACGGTGTGAAAGCCTAAAGGCAAGAGGAATAAGTGGGTAACTGACCTCATCAATTTAAAAATTTGGGCTGTTCCATAAAACAAAATTAATGCACATCACGGACACAATTTTATATCGTTTTACAAAACGATAAGACTATGCTGGGGGCACTGCAAGCATTTTATACAAGTGGTGAGAAGGGGGCAGCCAAAAATCTGTTCTCAAATTTATGTTTAAACCACTTACACTAGTTTCCTGATCATCCTAAAGCGTTCAGGACAAAGAATTTGTTTTAAATACTTTTAGCTTTTGGTATTCATATTTGCCTTTTCTTCTTCAGTTAGATTTCTTTCCAAAATTCCAGGGGTAGGGGATGATGCCTGGTTCCACCCTCCCAATATCCATGAGCCTACAGCAATTAACACATTGCACTCAATACCCATATTTGAAGCCACAGGGGTGAGCGGTCAGTTTAATTCACCAGCCACGTTACCTCCCCTCCTGATCGGATAGTGCACTGGGAGGGCTCCAAAGCTGGCATGGACATGGTGGCAAAGATTTCCTTGCTGGGAATCGAACTCTGATTCTTCAAAAGTCCAGTATGTAGCATAGTCATGACTGTGAGGGCTGCCATGCTGATAATACACAAGACTTGTATTCTGGAGCTGATCACTTCGATTCTCGGTGTGGACACTGACTATCCAGACTGAAGCGTTTTATGGCTTTCTTCAGTCTCTTCCGGCAAATGCCAGAATAGTAACTTGATTAGGTCACGACCACTTCCTTCAAATTCCTTTCCGATTCATTATTCATATACAGAATGCCCCAGGAGGAAAGGTCAATATTCTGGGAGAACATAGTATAGGCCATTCTAAGCAAGAAAAAGTGTGTGTATATATATATACACATATGCATGTGACCTATTCCGAACGGTTTCCGAGATACAGCTATTTCACTGTACAGTGTACAGACGAGCACCATGCCATGTCCTCACACGAGTTGCACTGAGAGAAAGCTGTTTCACTCTACAGTACACTGTACACTGTGCAGAGGAGAAACAAGCCATGTCCTCACACGAGTTGCACCGAGATAGAGCTATTTCACTGTACAGTACACTGTACAGACGAGCAACACGCCATGTCCTCACACAAGTTGCAAAGTGCATTGATGTTGACGGTGGAATTTTCGAAAATGTGTTATACCAGGTAAACTGTACCAACTTTGTCACTTGAACAATAAATACCGGTATTAAGAACAGTATGTAATATCTCTTCATTATCAACAATTTCGGAACTGTGCAGTAATATAGCTGTCTCGGAAACCGTTTCAAATAGGACATATTTACACATACACATCTTTGTTTAGAATGACTGATACTATGACCTCCCAGAATACTGACAATTCCTCCTGGGGCACCCTGTATGTAGGCCGGTTACTGATGTCGCAAAATCTCCTCCTCAAGATATGGGGTGTAAACACATAACTCAGGCAGTTAACTGCCCGTTGCGATTAATCCCATCAAGTCCACAGAGGATTTGCTGTGGGCAATGTGACACTGCAGAGGTTTTTCTATCAGCACTTCGGTTTCCCTTCCCAATTATCATTTCCAGGAATAGGTACAACAGTCCCACTTCCATCTTAAGCATGAAACCAGCAAACTCAAACGGCAAGATGAGCTGCTTCTTTTTGTTTGCTTTACACTTCGACCTTGAAGATGGAAGCGATATGCTCATCCGAAGCGTCGGGATCGAACCTAACTGCGCGACGTGAAAACCCAGAATACAGCATTCTACAAAGCCACCGCCACAAGGGCCTAAAATCCTACAGAGTATGGGAAGTCGAAGATATTCGGGGAAGAGGGAAATTTGTTTGTTTATTTAACGACGATATCGCTAGCCGAGACTATATACATATTACGATGCGGAGAACTGAAAAGGATGTGGAAGGAAGCGCTCGTGACCTAATATCGAGGAATCTGTCTGGATTAACTGAAGAAAACCATGAAAAACATTAGTTAGGACAGGCAGTGATTCGAATGGGGAACATCTTGACCACAACCGAAGAGGGAGGTGGTCATAGGGGACGGGCAAAACATACTGCCTCCACTTTCGAGACAGACTACACAAGTACACAGTTTAGAAACCTCGTATGGGAGAGTGGAATGCACGATCCTTTCCGGAAGGACTTGAAATTACGTCACAGGGAGTGAGATTTGGAAGTGAGTCACGGCAAGTAACCACAGACCAAGCCCACAGCGGGCAGTCAGTGTGTATCCTGTCCTAATCTGTCGTTAGATCGGGCCCCACATTCCATGTCTGCTGATGAAATGCAACATCACGAAACCGAAGTTCCGAAAGCAATGATATAGTCGTCCATATGCTTAATTAGGGCCACGTAATGAAATGGATTGATGAGGGGGTGGGGGTACAGCTCCACGCACTCTTAGTCTCGACACTAGATGCAGGCGAGCAGGCTATTTTAACGCTCCGGTTGATTTACCCCTGCGGAAAGTCTCTGGTCAAGAGCCTGCCTGGGTATTGCGGGGGAAAGGAAGGTTTTCTGCTTCTCCGGAGAATCGAACCCGCAGCCTGGTCACTATACAGACAGGGCTATGGATGCCTCTCACATTCTTAATCTGGAATATTTATGGTTTATTTAACGTCGTCTGTGACTGAGATTATAAAGTAAGAGTAAAAAATAAAGGTATCCCTGTAACAGGCCGTGGAGGCACACAGTGTTGTGAGACGTCGAGGCTCCCACATTTTCTAGACGATCGGCTCACAAATGGAGGCAAGGTTGTCAGCCCTATGCGCCGTGACAGTGTCAAGGCCGAGGAATAATTCCAGCTAAATGCGTGACAATGTACACGGAGGTGCGTGTGTTCACAGCCGGAAATTCCCGACGTAGTCTCCGCTATGCACACAGTACACGCCCAGTTCAGCCAGAGGTCGTCATGGATTGCACTGCGGACCCACATCTGCCGTCTGATAAGCAGGAACAAGGAAAACATCAAAGCTTTGAAATACTGTAGTATGTACCACCTGCCTAAAGTCTGCTATCTGCCCACACAGTGTATCTGTGTGCGCCGCATGATTCTCACAATAAACAGCGACCGTTTCCCCAAACATTAACCGGTTGGGCTTTGTTATGGAGACGTAATGAGCTTCCTGTGAGGTACGGAATGATTTGCTATATATTCTGCCCACACAGTGTATCTGTGTGTTCCGTATGGTTCTCACAATAACAGCGACTGTTTCCTTAAAGAGCATTAACCGGTTGGGCTTTGTTATGGAGACGTAATGAGCTTCCTGTGAGGTACGGAATGATTTGCTATATATTCTGCCCACACAGTGTATCTGTGTGTTCCGTATGGTTCTCACAATAACAGCGACTGTTTCCTTAAAGAGCATTAACCGGTTGGGCTTTTGTTAAGGTAGACGGAGTGTGTTTCCTGTGAGGTACGAGGTCTGAGAGGATGTTACAGAAGGACTATGACCGCACGTGTTCAATTGAAAAATAATACTACTAGCCGTCAATCTCAAGGGGCCTGTCTCCAAGCCAAACTGATGGGCGGTAAGCCGCTAGTCGTAAAGTAACCCTGACTCTTACTCAGGCTTCCGTAAGAAGGCTCTTAACGTGCATTACAAACCACGGGATGTGACATTCACAACGAAATGAGGATATAAGTGAGTTGCAAACAAGACAATGTGCGAGAACGTATAAAAAAGAAATTAAATGGGAAAGAGAGTCAGAAAAGACAAAGAAATAAACCAAACTGAAGGGCGACAGAATTTGTACATTTAAACCAGTTAACATGCGTGGTGTGATGAAAGACGATACCACAATGACACAAATAACTTAACATGCTGGACCCAATATTGGCAACTGCAGCTAGACGGCAGACAACTCTCTCTCTCTCTCTCTCTCCAGACTTGAAAAGGTTTGTGGAAAACTTATATCCAAAGAAACTCCGTGGCTTTAGGCCGCAAGCGAACTATAGCGACCGAGCGACCGCCGCTTGTTGGCGAAATTAGTGCCAACTTTGGCAGATAGAGGGTGTCGCGTGGTCAGCGCAACGAAACCCTACGGCCGTTAATTTCGGTTTTCTAGACCGGAGCCGCTATTTCCTTGAAATAGCTCCTCAATTATCCTCACGAGGCTGAGTGGACCCCGTTCCAGGCCCACTACTTTTCAGAAAATCTGGTAGCGCTGGGAATCGAACCC